TGTATGCATTTAATGATATCCTCCATGCATTATTTTATGGAATAGGGAAGTCTGCTACTGATTTAAGATATGGGAATATACTCAAAGGTCCACTAATAATCGAACTTCTGACAAAACTTGCTAGTGGTAATAGTATATATATATATCTATCTCCACTTACACACAGTCTGTAGTTTATATTATTGCAAAAAACAAACAAACAAACAAACGAAGTATCATTCAGCAGAATTGTGTCCACCAGAGTATATTAACACAGATTTTTTGAGCTTGTGCATCACCAACAGGTTCCTTTGAGGGTTTATAGATATTGCTCAGCTTAGCCCTCCATTTCACCCACTTTTTGACTCGTTGTACCATTTATTTCCCTAAGCCTGCAAACACCAGTTGTTTCTAAAGACTGATTTTTGATTTGGCTCACCAAGGCACTGCATAACAGACCCCATCTCTCAGCTGTTTTTACAGAGTGCTGCAAAGGCCCTGTGGCATTGCATAGCTCTGGGTAAAGCTCTGATCCCAAACACAGTGCTGCAGTGTCAGTGCCTCAGAAAAAACCAAATTCTCTTTGGTGCAACTTCCTTTCAATGCAGTGACACTATTTCCTATTATGAATTTACCTTGGCAGCTGCTAACAGAGGGATCTCTGCAACATGCACCACTGCACACTGTAAATATGCCCTCCAGTATGTGTGTGTACATCCATTTTTCAGTCTATAATACCAATTGCAAATATTGGCATGCATGCTTGTGGTGTCTGTGTTTACAAACTGTAAAGAGGCTTAAGTGTTTATCCCCTTTATACACAGAGATATCCTGGACGTGTTCAGACAACATGGAAACCCTACTCTGGCCCCTATGTTCATACTTCTCATGGTACAGGGTGCACATGGCTTTTCCTTTACTGACTCTGCACAGGGTCTTTACTAACTTTCCTTAGGGGGAACGTCTAAACACAGTACTCTTAGTTGTTCTCTGATGGATTTGCTTCCCAGAGAAAAACTGTTAAATAAAATGAGAGATACTCTTCTCAATATCTTTTACTTCCTAGTCGTATTGGTGTTAATGAGCCTCTTATGTTGCAGCTAGTCATCTCCAGTGCCTGACTTATAATGTCCTGCTTTGCTTGGGTTCTTCTAAATGACACTTCAAACTTTGAAATGAACAGACCAGAAACAGACCCTAAGTCACCTATTACTTGTTTTGCAGTAAAAGCATAGGGATTGCAATGGAGGGTAAAGCATTATGTATTGCTCCTCTACAATGCACACGCTACAAGACAGGAGAACTACTCATGTTAATGAAATGGCTTAAAATCTCAGTTATAATGTGATTTGATTTTCAATTAATGAGTTTTATCTAAGCATTAGGGAGTAAAGGAATGGATCAATGGCTCTGTGTTTGACTAAGATCTGGTAAAGAACATAAAAGGAGTTGTATCCATATTTTAGTCTTTAACTATAGCTTTACTTTAGATAGACTGTATTGTATCATATTATGAAATATACTTATTGCAGCTTTTTGAAATGTAGTTCATCTTCACATAAGTAAGAGAACACCTGTGATATTAATGAACAACTTTTAAGCTGAAATTGATCAGTTACCTCACATTTCCATAGAAGCTTTCAGATAAAAATCATGCATTTGAATTTGCACAGGTCAAAATTCAGGGGCAATCAGAATGGTACTTCAGCTGAATCCCATGCCAAGTGTCCCAGCATCACTCTGGAGCTTAAGCATGGCTTCAGAAGTGGCCAAATGACCAGCCAGAGAAAAGTCCAGCCAGAGAAAAGTCCAGCAGGCAGCTCCTTGAAAATTTGCATTTGAGCACTCACACAGAGGAAGTGCTGTAATTCCTGACAATTACACCTGTTTTCCTCCTTCCCTCGAAATGAATACTCCCTACTCCAGTACGGCACCAGGTGGACTAGACAACCTTGTGCATGTCTCTATAAATTCTTCATTCTGTCTTTTCTAACTATAAATGGAGACCCTGATTTCAGTCATTATTGCACCCAAAATTAACCAAGTTTGCTATCACATTTTATTTGCATTCTACAGTGGGTATCTATGAAGATAAGATATGATGGTCTCATTTTATTTTATGAAGAAGGAGATTCAGAAATCATGAGTAAGATGTGTAAATAACATTGCCACCATGCAGCATTTGATCATGTAGGGTTGAAAAGAATGGATCTGAAAATGCTAACAACTCTTTTACTGAAATATTTCATTCAATTCAATATTGCAGAGGTAGAGAGTAGGAATATGATCCTGTGAAAAAGGAAGAGAAACTATAGAAAGAAACATGAGGGTTTCTAGGTCAAATGCAATGGCAAAATCTTCTAACTTTTCTGTAAAAAAATTTAAAATAGGTACATCAATAAATTCTTCAAACATATATTTCTGTTTATGCAGTCAATTGTATGGATTTGATCATAAGGAGGTTACAAAAATAAGACATGTTACTCCCACTAATTTTTAAAATATACTCTCCCATGTCACCTATGTATATCTATTGAGTGAATGGAGATGAAATACAATTTGAAGAGAAATTATTTATTTTAATAATTAATGATGCTACTAAATCAATTTAGCAAAATATTTGATATTATTTTTGAATGTCTCATACATTTTAACACATTTTGTAATAATTTCTAAGAAGAAATAGCACAAGATAAGAAATTTAATATGGCAAGAGTCATAGTCCATGAATCAACCACTTAGTAATATCAGGATTATAATATTCATGACATATATGAAATTTGAACATTTCAGTCAAAAATACAGATGTAGAGAATCACTTCTGATGGTGCCTCAAAACTCAATTAAAGGGGTTAAACTGAACTGTAAACCGGTTTCAGCCTAATTTGTGATAACCAAACTGGGATGTCTCAGAGATCACCGTGCTTCCCTGAACATGCAGGAAATGTATATGAAACCACAGCATAGCAACTGTTGATATAAATTGATTTTTAGTCGTAAGTAATACAATGATTCATAAAGCATATTTTGCTTTTCGTAAGCATAATCTCTTAATAAGCTTATGTGTGTTACCCACATGAGTTTACCATACAATTTTATCATTACTTTAATTATGTATCATTTAAATCCATTATAATTTTTTATTTTTTTCCAGACCTCCATCCTGGAACTTCAATAATCACCATTAGAGACAACGATACTTCCTTAAATTTTCACTGCATGTATATACAAGTATCCTGTAGACATCTTCTTTTCCTTGTTAAATAGTGCTAAGGTGAATTCTACAGAGCTACACATCAATGAAGTTGCCAAAGGTATAAACTCATGACTGAAACGGAAAAATTCTTTCCATCAAAACTTCCAGTTCAATTTCGTTGTGTCACCTTTAAATAGTTGTACTCTTAAAATTCAGGTTCAGGACAACCAGCATATTTTCTTGCTTTTGTTCGCTGCTTAGGTAAAAACTGTGTCTTTTATTTTCCTCTTAGTGTTGAAGTTACTTCTTCAAATCTAACAGAGAGTAGATTTTTATTAGATATTAGGAAGAAATTCCTTTCTGTGGGGTGAGTGAGACACTGGGACAGGCTGCCCAGAGAAGCTGTGGATGCTCCATTCCCTGGAAGTGTCCAACACCAGGTTTGACAGGGCTCTGAGCAAGCTGGGATAGTGGAAGGTGTCCCTGTCCATGGCAGGGGGTTGGAACTGGATGATCTTTAAGGTCCCTTCCAATACAAACCATTCTAGGATTCTGTGATTCCATGATAATTTTTCATAAAACATAATAGAAAACCATATTTGAGAGAATTTCAAATGGGCATTTAGTCCATTCCCTTGCTACAGAGCATTATCAACAGCACTTAGACCATTCTCATGGAGGTGTTTAATAACTCAGTGATGGAAACTGGACAACATTCCTCAGCGACCTAAAGGGGAAATTCAGTACCTGTTCAATATCCCTCTCTAATGGCTAACTTCACTCCATTTTCAACATAGTTATGACTCCAAAGACCATGGAAACAATCCCAGTACCTGCTTCCTTGCAGAAACTCTTTGAACCCATGTGGGATTATGGGATCTGCTCTCTTAGTCAAAGACTCCGTTTCTCTACACCCCAGGGTAAAACACTATAAAAGGTTAATTTCTACACCTCAGGGTAAAACACTATAAAAGGTTAATTTCTATACCTCAGGGTAAAACACTATAAAAGGTTAATTTCCCAAAGTTATATAGCTGTAAATAATTGTTTTAACATACATTCTTAACTCTCTCATTGCTCTTAAGATAAGGAATATTAAAAAAAATACTTGCATATCTGTCCTTTAATGTCTCTAGAGTTAGAAAACACATAGATTTTATTTTTTTAATCATAGGTAGAATCCAAATAATTTTTAATGATGAAATAGCTGAAATAACCCTAAAATGGCCCATGTGAGAAGAGGAGTCCCTCAAGGAAAGGACCATATTACTAACTTACCAATATGGAAGAATTCTCTTTATGTACCCCTGTGTTGTGCCTGGCCAGTGGCATAACTGCTGACCTTAAATAGCATTTGATTTCTTCATTTTCACAAGCAAAGTAGCTACATAGGCAGGTGCAAACTCAATTCCAACAATTTATATCAGGTGGAGCTTCTTTGGGGTTTTTTTGAGAAGCTAATTATCATCACTTGGCCTAAGGAGGAAAAAAAAATTCACTCAAACTTCCTGTTCAAAAGTCACCCAGAAGTCTCTTAAATTGTGTTTATCCCACAGTAAACAAAAATTTGGGAAGACTATGCCTAAGCAAAAATTCTTCTTGCTCACTTCTTGACATTTCATCAAAAATGTGGAAAGAAGACTCCTCCTAGAGTGTAAATAGCTGAGGGAAAGTCAGAGCATCCTCTATTTACCTCTGCACTTGCAAAAGAAAACAAAAATGTCTGAAGCCCCACCTTTTAAGAGCCTTGTGAAACAATCTGGGAACTGAGCCAAATTCTGCTCTCTCACTATATAAGACTTGGGAGCAGACAGGTATTTCCTCAGAGGCAGGTAGTTCGGTGGTTCCTACCGGGCTTCCAGAGATGGGTAAAGGTGGTGGGACACGGATACCACTGTGGATATCAATACTAGCCCTGGTCTTCATACAGATCGAAGGTAGGAGGATTCACTTGCTTGGAATTTTTACTGTTTTAAAGAATTTATAACTTGCTTTGGAGTTTGAAGCATCTTATTTTTTTTTTTTCTTGGCTTTGTGAAGTTAATGAACCTGTTACCTTTATGCAAGATTTTATTTTCTGCTTAAAGAGCTTTCCTTCCTAAGGAAAGGAAATTAACTCTTTTGAAATTGTTGTCCTTTTTTCTCCAGTTGAAATCTGGAACAGCTCCACTGCATTGAGTGGAACTGCCTCAGAATTTGAATTTCTACAAAAATGCCTCAAGATTTGCATTTAGCTTTTAATATCCACTTCAGTGTGGCATAGCATTTCTAAATTACAAACCAAAAGGTGCAGAAGTACCTCTAGAAAAGAACAAATCAGTGGAGGAGTATGTCTGTGTGAATTATTAAAGATTCTGTTTATCAGCTGATGATAGAGTATTGAAAAAAAGGAGGATTTTACTTGAAAATCATCAGGCAATAGATTTTAAAAATTCATTTACTCTTGCTTATGAGGTTGCATAAGAGCTTAGCACACAGGGTTGGTTTACAATGGGCTGAAAACAAATGGAACTACTGTAAATATTCTGCAGGAACTTAATAGTCACAGATGGATGGAAATCTCTTTAACTTTTTTTATTTTTCTTTTTTCATCTGATAACTTCCTTTTAAGTTTAAGGTAACAACAAGGGTTAATTTTAAATGCATTTTGGTCTCAAGTGCAGATCTTATTGTATGACTTCATATTTTTCCTGCTCCTAGGTAGTTGCAGAGTAAGTTAGGTGGTGATGTCAAAGAGCAGCCCATGACAGGACTGCAGATTAGCACAACGTGCAGTGGCAGCAGGGACCTGCAGTGCTGAGACAGCAGAGCCACGCAGTGTGTGTGGAGGGAGAAGCAAAAGCTCTGTGAGGCTGGGCACTGCACGGCTCCTGCCATAAAAGTGGGCACATGTCCCCTCACCCCAGTGTAGAGGTCAGGAGGGGACTGGCAGAGCTCCCTGCAGCTCTGCTTTCAGCCTTGGCCCCTGCAGTGCTCCTGCCCTGAGCAGCTGCAGCAGAGGCTGAACCTGCCCTTGCAGTTTTCTCTGGCCAGAACAGTCTTCACCCCAAGCTGCTCTCTGAGCTCTCACTAAACCCTGCCTTGAAAGCCCCTCTGGCCCCTGCAGATAATGGATGTATTCCTATTCTGATGCTGCAGTGGAATGGAATGGAAAATGGTTTATTTGCTTTGGGGTGAAATCAACAGGCACAAATGTGTCTATTGGAAAGGCCTGTTTCCTTCTTTGTGGTGTGGCTCTTGCATTTATTTTCCTCCTGTGGCTTATTACAAAGAGTGCTTGAAACTGTAAAATGCAGAGTAACTTTGGCCTTGACAAAGAACAGTCCTCTAACCCTAAAGTGAATTCTTCCTGTACAAAAGGAACTTATTTTAAAGCCCTCTAGCTAGAAAAAAAAAAGATTTTCCTGATGCTTAAAGCACAGAGTCATCGTAAAACCTAAGAAATTTAGGTCCTTCATCTGAAAAGCTTATATGGGAATCCAGAGGTATACTGTGACAGAAGAAGGCCCCTCAAGTCACTACAAACATGTTTTTGGTGGCTTCCCTGCAGTAATTTATTACCCAAAAAATTAAAAAACAGAAAGGCAAAGGCTGAAGGAGTGGTGTTTGGCCATCATGGGTCCTGATGCATTTCTTACCTCCCGTACATAAACATCTTTGATTTTTGAGTGTTGCATGTTTAAACAGATATAATTGAGACATTATGAGGGAACTCAAGAAAATTGACATTCACATTTCCTTTTCTACTCTTCTTGATGCAGTTCAAGCCCAGGGTGGTGAACAACCAACAAAGTCAGAGTATGTTTCTCCATCTCTCCTGCAGCGACAAAACTGTAGGTATTTTTATGCTGATCTCTCTCTAGGGTTTTGTTAAATAATAGTTAAATAAATAGTAAGATTACTATAATATTTTTATATTACTAGAATAGTTTTATTCCTAGCTCAAATATACTACACACATTAAAAGGGAAGCCCTCTGTACAATATATCCAGTTCTCAGCCAGTCTCTGACTGCTCTAAGCTTGAGAACTTTGTCTGAGATCTGGCCCAGTGGATCTGCTCTGCTGATATGATACTGTTATCTAATCTTTAGCTTCACGAAAGGTACATAACTTGTATCTAAAAGTGTATTTTCAGAACAGGTGTGTGTTTACATGCATATCACCAAAGTACTTGATAGTAGGTAATAAAAGGCACATTTTTTTACACTGTGTCACTCACGATAGAATAAGAAAACTGTAACTACCTTAAACATTGGAATAATTAAGTACTACAAGATCATGCATGACACATAACTGGACAGTGCAAAATAAGGGTGGAAGGATCCAAAGCTGACTGGTGTATTAGTGATGACAGGCTGAAATAATTGATCATTAAGTCTACCCAGCTAAATATGTGCCAGAGATTATTTAAAAATAGCTGTTGTAATCACTATTGCAGTACAGTGGTCTGAGGATCATGTTGCTGCTTTTGAGTTCAGAGTATCAGGACCAGCATCAGATAGGAGTCTTGAGCAAATGATGGAAGAGAGCACTAGAGTCTGTGCAAATTAGCTGTTAGTGAAATTTATAGAAAGAAAGAACACAAAGCATTGTGTAAAAACCACCAATAAAACCTTGTGGAAACATTCCCCTAGAGTGTAACTAGTAGTAGGAAATGTTATTCACTAAAAAGACTAGGCAATCTCTACCCATGTTTTAGGACTTCAAGAAAGGTTAAACCTGGTCACTTTTTCTCCTTTCTATTTTGTACCAGCTGTCAAATCCCAAGGAGTGACAATCATTCCATCCTTTCCAAACACACTGAAAGTAAAGGGTAAGTTAAGCAAATAGCATGGCTCAAGTATCTGTGCTCTTGTTAATGACAAAGAGCATGGCGTGAATGAAAAAGTAAACAAATTGTGTAAGGTCCTTTAGCACCATAAAAAATTAGCAGAAAATTAATCATCAGGTAGTGTGGATAACCTAACTGTGAATACAATGCTTTGCTTCATTGTTTTATGATGCAGCTGTAAAAAGAAATTTAATATATATTTATACATGCATATATACTGTACGTATTTTTCCTCAGCATTATATATATTTCCAGTAAAGAGAGGAAAATACTAGTGTGCTGAAAACTGTCAAGACACCTTATCTTGGGAATAGGGTACAATTCAAGCAGGCTGAGTGTAAATGTGGAAAGGGACTGGGAAGATAATCAGGGATATTGGAGCGTATGCTTGCAAGGAAAGGAAGGCTGAAAAGAAAAATTTCTATAATGGGCAGGGGGAGGAGCAGGGAGGTTGAACCCCTTCAAGGTGAAGTGTAATTTTGGCACAAGAACAACCAGACATACATGGGATGGGAATATGTTTTGGAAGATGTTAACAGAAGTCTTCCAGCCGTTCAGAGGTTGTGGGTATGAGTGGCCTTCTCAAGTAGAACTATCAGCTAGTTTTAAACTAGCTTTAAAATGATTTTATGGTGAAACTTTAGGACTCCATGCATTTAGGAAGGGATTTCTAGGATAGGAAAGTCATCAGAACTAGAGCACTGGATCTAGTGACCCAGGGGGTCTCTTTTGATCCTAGGCCCTGTATCCCTATGAAAGCTGACTAAGCACAATAATAAATAAATAAATAATGACAAAAAAATAGCTTGACAAAACAGAAAAAAGAAGAGGAGCTTTTTGGGCAGAGGCTGGTGAAAGGAGGGATAAAGCATCTACAGGGAGGGTATTACAAAAATTACAGGAAATTCTTACTGCTTATTTTGAATCCACAGCTGGCAACCCCTCTCACAATGGCCGTGTGTGCAGCACATGGGGGAACTTCCACTTCAAGACCTTTGATGGGGACATCTTTTACTTCCCTGGGGTCTGCAATTACATCTTTGCCTCCAACTGCAAGTCTTCCTACGAGGACTTCAACATCCAGATTAGGCGTGCAATGGTGGAAAATGCTACTGTGATCACTCATGTCATCATGAAGCTGGAAGGAGTTGTGATTGAACTGACCCCCAGCTCTGTCCTGCTCGACAACAAATTGTATGTTCCTGCCTTGTTCCCAGTGGGCTCTCTGGCCAAGTATCTCCTTTCCCTCATCTGATCTCACATTGCTCCCGAGCAGAGGGAGGGCTCAGGCTCTCCCTGAAGTAGTAACAAAATAAAAAAGGAGGGCTTGAAAGCAAGCTAATTGCCACTTCTGCAGATTATTCTTGTGGCTGTTTTGCTCAGATGAGCTACATCCAATATGCTGTCCCCACTGCTTCAATAGTGTATGTATGCAATTAAGTCTATAAGCTGCATTCTTTACACCTGTGAAGTTAGTATTTTCCATTATTTTACCACAGCAGAATCCCCAAGAGGAATTTTTGACAGCTTTTGTCTTTGCACTGAACAGTGTGTGGTGAAGCAGTGACTGCTCTTTAGCTTGTACCTGAATTTAAAATTATCTGTTGCACTGACTTTGGCATAGGGTGTGAAACCTATCCAAAAGTCCAGGTAAATATTTGGGCAGCTGTCCCACAGTGAGTTGCCTGTTATGGCAGCTAGGCACAGTGAACTAGTCTAAAAGTTATCTCGGTTACAGCTTCCTGAATGGCACTCGTGTCACAGAAAGCCTGGAGTCTATCCCTTCATTATCAAATGCTTCAAGAAGTAAATAGCAATATCCTGAAGCACACTGGCTGCAAAACAGAGCCTCCCAGCACTTCTTTGAACAATATAACCACAGGCACATGCTCACATTTTATCCAGAGAAACATCTTTAACAGAGAAAGCCAAAAGGAATAACGGGGAAAGCAAGGCCAATCTATTTGCATGGTGAGAGGTAATTGCATAGGAAATGGACAAAATACTACAAACCTGTGGTGTCTGTAGTAGTTATTGGTCTAATTTCTTCACAGATACATGGTGAAAATTTTCAAAGAGAATGAGAAAGGCTATAATTGTGGATCTTCAATGGATATTCTGTCCCTACCCCTGCTGACTTATGATGATCTTTCCCCAGGGTCCAGATGCCCTACAGCCATATGGGAGTCTTCATAGAGAGAAGTAACAACTACTTGAAAGTTTCTGCCAAGCTGGGACTGACCTTCCTTTGGAATGGACAGGATGCCCTCCTGGTAAGAAAACATTCAAAATGCAGCAGAAAGTCTGCATTTTGAAAGTAGTTTGTTTACACCTTTGCAGTATTACAGCCAGGCAGATACTAATTACTTTTGGATTTGTGTCTATTTTTAGTGTATTGTTCTGTCTTCCAGTCATCTCTCAATTTCCCTTTTTTCCCCACCAAGCTGAGCTCAGAATCAGTAGATGCTGAATTATAATGTTCCTATCTCACCACAAAGTACTCCTCAGATTCCAGACCTGGCAAAGTATTGATGTTCACAACCCAGGACTAGGATAGGAGTGAGCTTTTCTTGGTCATCACTGACCATTCCAATGGTGCCTACCTTGCTATCACACAGCACAGTCTCCACAACAACCATATCTCAGATTTTGAGTATGTGAGCAATACTGATATAGGCTGTGCTCCTAACCATCAAGACTGCCATTTCTATAAACCTCCTTCCTCCTTTTTTTTTTTTTTTTAAGGTGGAATTAGATAAGAAATATGCCAATCAAACTTGTGGACTTTGTGGGGACTTCAATGGAATTCCAGTCAGCAATGAATTTATTTCAGGGAGTAAGTAATAAAAAGCATTATTAAGTACTGATGTGGGTTTTTTTCTTCTTACAATATACTTTTACATAGGTTGTGGGTTGTATTAACTGGAAAACTGGAGATACTTCTTCATGTATTCCTGTGATGTCAGTTGTGCAAGTCAAGTCTTTGAGATGCATTAGATTGCTTCCATCACTGTTAGATATTTTAAGACCTGCCACATAAAAATTTCTGCTTGTTTTCAATAGCTAGGATCGAGTTCTTTATATATCCTGTTCATCTTTTCCCTTTCATATTATAGTGATATTATTTGGTAATCACTGTTCATGTTGTAGCAGGTAGTGTCACAAAAAAAACTCTCATGCAAAATTCAGTAAGCATTACTCTAATATTGAATAACTGATAAGTTGGGACTTTGAACTGTTTTTTTACAGAGACGAAACTGACCCCCATACAGTTTGGTAATAGGCAGAAGATGGATGGACCTACGGAGCAGTGTGATGATCCTATTCCTCCTACTTCTCTGATGAACTGCTCAAGAGAATTTGTAAGAATCTCTCTCTCTCAAAATTTGTTTTCTCAGTGTGAATACATTCTAGGTCTTTGGAGAATGTTTTAGAAGGGGAAAAAAATAGAGCATTAATATGACTCAGCAGTAGGTCTCAAAAGAAAACCATTCTAAATTTCATGTTGTATTCTTTGCTAAAGTGAATGCCAAAAATTTGCATTCCACTTCTACAAGAAAGCTATGTATTGTCCTGAAAGAGAAAATTACAGAGAATGTCTTAATACAAGGAAGTTGTATAATGCTTGGGAAGTGACTTGGGATGATGTTAACTAATGATATGGAAGCTACTAGAGTTAGTCAAAGGAGTTCTGTGTGGTTTTGCCCTATTGATATATTTTTCCCCTAAATATCAGCTTATGGCTACTGTTGGATGGGTTTCTGGGCCAGATCAATCTTTTATTTGTTCTGCTGTTTTGCCTTAAATAATTAGTTTTGTATTTTCTTAAAACTTTGTTTACCTTCTCCCTTTTCCTTCCTAGGCTTCTATCTGTGAGACAGTATTAACCAGCAAGGCATTCACGAGTTGCAACATGCTTGTGAATGTCCAGGACTACATTGAAACTTGCATACAAGACCTGTGCCACTGTGACAGCTCCATGGCTGACTTCTGCATGTGCAACACCTTTGCTGAGTACTCCCGGCAGTGTGCTCATGCAGGGGGACAGCCCCTGAACTGGAGAACCTCAGACCTGTGCCGTGAGTATCTCGGGAAGGGACCCCCAACCTGTGCTTAATACACACGTCTAGAAAACCTCGAATATGCGGGTTTTTTTTCCTGAAGAAGGTGTTAATTTAAAAGTGCACGCAATTATCACGAAATCAGTTAACCTGGTCATGCACAGGACTTTAGGAATACGGAAGTTTAGGGGATTTTCAATAGAAATCAGAAAATCTAAGATATTTCAGCCTCTGCCTGGATCAGGATACCCTGTCGTATATTGATACAAAACAACCTAAACTGCAAACACTGTTTTCTGGAACTTTTAAATGGAAAGTCAGCTTTATAATACTCTTTCTATTTGTAGCCAAATCATGTCCGTTCAACATGCAGTACCACGAGTGTGGCTCTCCCTGCTCTGACACGTGCAGCAACCCGGAACGATCTGCACTTTGTGAGGATCACTGCACAGATGGCTGCGTCTGTCCTCCAGGCAAGCTCCTTTCCTGCCCTTTTCTCATAGCCAAAACCCCCTAGAATACCCACCTGTACACGTTTAGCAACTTTCATACTCTGGATCATTCCCATCACATGGAATGTGTTATTATCATTGAAGTAATAGTTACATTTCTCCCCTGGATGCACGATTTCTATTCAAATTACTAAATACGCTCTTTTAAAAAACAAATGTATTTCTATATATTGTATATATATAATTACTGAACTAAGATACTTTGCTCCTATTCTCAGCATTCAAATCCAGTTCACAGAAAGTATAAAGTGTTTAAGCAGATTTTGCATGCAGTCATAACTCCTGCAAATGCAAAGCTGCATCTGGTTCCACAAATGACCAAATCCTTCTTGTCAAGTGTTGTGTGTCTAAACAAGGAGCTGGCAGAGCACTAGGCAGTGTGTTAGGTCTGGTGCTCAGAGATTTACACATGAGAACTGCTTATCAGTACAAGATAGATGTGTTCTCTTTGTGCATACTTCTGAGTCTAAAGTTTCGTTGCTGTTGTGACTGTGTATCACAGGAGCTTCACCCCTGGCAGATGTTCTGCCCATCCCCGTGATTTCTCACAGAATTCACCATCACTTGTTTGTGTAGTAGCATTGACTTCTCTAAGGCAATCCTCTGTATCTGGGCATAGAAATATTTATTGTACAGATATGTCCCTGGGCAGTCTTACAAATAGTTCATCTATTCCAGCGCATTTTCCAATAGTTTTAATCCTAATTCCATTGAATGAAGTCCATTACAGAAAGGCATTTCCCTAGAATTCCTTTTTGATGCTAAGATTTTTAGATAGGCTTCAATGGAATATAGCCCTTCAATTTCTACACGGCTTGCATATCTACATATCCTATTATTTTAAAGTACAGAAGTGGGACACAGGCATCTGCTAGCTCTGTGTTCAAAGGCAGGTTCTGAGTGCAGGGTAAGTAAGAGCCCCTTTCTTTTCCCAGGAATGGTGTTTGATGACGTGAATGGTGCTGGCTGTGTTCCCCGCAGAGAATGCCATTGTACCTATGAAGGTCAAACTTATGCTCCTGGTGCCTCCTTCTCATCTAAATGCAGATCATGGTAACATATTTTCTCACTTTTTGGGCTGAGATTTTTGTGTGTGCATTAGCTGAATATTTACTGATTTCCCCTTAAAAAACAAAGGAGCAACTACTTGCCAATTGAAGTTCCATAATTGCACTGCTTTAGAGGTTACTTTCATGTCTGTTTTCCCTTCACACTTGGAGCAAAAATTAGAGTTTTTGAACGGGTGCTTCAATTTCAAGAAATGCCAATGAAGGAAGATAGCCAAAGTCAAATACCAGAGGTGTTTAAAATGTATATTAGTGTTACACCTTTGCAGCACTCAGTGTAATGCTAAGATGCTCATGTAAATGCTATAGAGGACATGACATTTGGGGGCATGTGGCATTTAGAGTGGGAGATAACAACATCTGGGAGGCATGTTTGAAAAATACATAATATATTTTTAATATCAGTATAATTATTGAAGTATTACTGTGTAAGTGTATGCAACTGTACCTATTTATTTATTTATTTTCCAAGAAATACTTAACATATTTGACATGGGTTACAAGTTCACCAGGACTGAATTCTGTACAACAACTGGAAATGAACAGCAATATATATAGAAAATTATCACCTTAATATAAATGTGCCTGCCACATTTGCCTGAGATTTCAAAGCAATATTGGCTTCTTTGGCAGTATGAGCAGTGTTTCAAGAGGAAAATTAAGGCATCATCTACCCTTATTGTCTTTTTATTTCATTTACACTTGCATTACCTAATGTTACTGAATGCCTCCTTTATTTCAGTACCTGTGTTGGAGGTGAATGGTCTTGTGTCACTCAGTCGTGCCCTGGGACTTGCAGTATTGAAGGAGGTTCCCACATCTCAACATTTGATGAGAAATACTATTCCTTCTTTGGAGACTGTAGTTATGTCCTAACCAAGGTAAAAAAATGAGTCACAGTCCTTGCTAAAGATTTTTTTTTATTATACCTAATGTTGTTTGATGAAAACTACTGAAAATCAGATCAGTTTTCTGAATCTCAGAGGGTTAACATGGTTAGAGGGATAACATCCCTAAATGGATTTCAGGGGCTTTTCTCCTAGGGTTATATGAAATAATACTGTAGTATTTTTTGTGTTCTTTGGTCGTTGTTTAGGGTTTGCACTGAGTTTTTATGTTAGATTCCATAACCCTAGGGTTTATTCATTGTTTATTTCTACTGGATGACTAAAGTAAACTATTTTCATAAGCACTTCATATTAAATAAAATATGATCTTGACATGATCAATCTGAATGTTACCAAGAAAAAGAATAATAAAATCTTACAAGTGAGCTAGAATGAGATGATTTAGAAATAATTAGCTTAAATCAATGAAACTTTAGGATAAGATTTACAAGCACTTCCTTGATGCACAATGGCAGCATAGGTCAGACTTGCACAAGAAATTCCTTTTTTGGCACCAACCTGTAAAATTAGATTCCTCTGGAAGCAGAGGAAAACCCCGGAATTTGTACACAAAAGTTCAAGAAGCCCCAGAATTTAATACTGAATTTCTAGATGGCTATAATTCTGCATCATGTCTTCAATATGCCACAAAAGGGATGACTGACATGTTCAGAATCACAGCCTTCGCCGAGCCTTTCCCTGCTGTGTTTTGGCCATCAGGCACACTTTGAAGATGGCTTACAGAACACAGTCTGATGAAAATCTGAACCTTTATGCAGTGACTTCCTGAATAATAATTTTAGTTTCATTTTTTCCTGTGGGAGGATATTTAAATCCATGTTTCCTACCTGTTAAAAGAATGTATCACCAGGGTCTTGAATAATCTGTTCAGTGCAGATGACATTGGGAACAATCTTTGCTCTCCCTGGTAAACTTCATAACCAGTGGGCAAGAAAGGCACAACTCCTTCTGCTCAAGCATATTAAATAGGTATAACCTACACATTAGGAACTAGTTTCACTAATGCATGAGGAAGTTTTCATATTAATATGTCTAACTCACCCCTGCATGCCAGAAGCAATGTACAGCTTCCAGTGTGCAGACTGCATGAATGCCAACTTACTTGGTGACTCCAGCCATGTGTTAGACTATATGAGCAAGAAGAAAGGAAATGAACAATATATTACTATTCCATTTGCTTGTGAGTCTTTTTGAAATAGCAATATTTCAATATAGCAAGTCCTTTTTAACAGTGTCTCTTGTTTTCTTCTTCAAGCTCTGTGACAGCAATGAGTTCACGGTGTTGGGGGATATCCACAAGTGTGGTCTGACTGACACTGAGACGTGCCTGAAGGGTGTGGCCATCAGCCTGAACGGAGGACAAACGGTGAGCACCAAATGCACACACCTGGCAGTCTGCAGGGGTGTTCTCCGAGATTAACAGGCAAGGCAAAGGACAAGTAACAGCACAGACAGGAAATTCGCGCTGCCTTTTTGTTATATCTCATTCAAACGTTGTTAAAAGAAAAATTAAGAATGAAGTAAGCACATAGGAAGAGAGGATCTTAGTAGCTTTCGGTTATTTAGATATTGTTTTTTGCTTTCTTGGAGAGTCAGTGGAACACAGTAATAAAGATTAAAGAAATAATACAGGAATCTGAACATCATCTTAGTCTCCCTTGATTTCCGCCCCCTGCTTTATCTTGAATAGGAAACATTTGGAGAGTATTTAACTTATCTGCTTGATAATAATCTTTTCTTGTGGACAGAACATTGTGATCCAGCCTTCTGGGAGTGTATTTGTGAATATGATCTACACACAGCTACCATTCTCAGCAGGTAAGTTCCTTTGAAAATTTTCATTTCTAATTTTTGCTTTAAAATGTTATTTAATAAGTTAAACTAAAGCCAAGTGCTACCTCTGGTTACACTGCAGCAAACCCAGAGCACTTCCACAGAGCACTGTCTTCCAATTTTTATGTAATAGGATTTGCCTATTCAACACTAATAATTTTAGCAAAATCATGGTATAAATTTAGCAATTTCTAGTTAGTTCAAGCAAACAGTGTTATTGCACACTTTCAGATCCAAACTTTGTCATAAGAGAGGGAAGAAAAATTCTGACAGGCAACTGAATCCAGTTTCTCAAGTCATTTAGTTCTATGTGTTCCCCCTGTCCCTGTTGTCAAAGCACATCCATCACTGAAGTTTCTCACATGCCAGTTCTTAAACATTACTGCACCTGAACACAAAGCAAACCATGAGAGGACAGAATAGGTCCAGGCTGGAGTCTTCAATTAAATAGTGCTATAGCATTTTCATCAAACAAAAGCAGCCTTTTAAATATCAACAGAAGTGTATGTTCTTCTCTCATTTTAAAACACCTGACAGAAAGTGGAGGTTTTGTATACATTTGTTGCTTAGGTGTTCAGGTTAGACTGTTTTGGTGCTGGATTTGATCCCTGTGAGGATCATTTTCCCCCAGTTCTTCAGAAATCAGGATCATATCAAACACAGTTGTAGAATTCCTCTACTATATTGTTCCTATAATGAATAATTAATTCAACTGCTCATCTTGAATGAAATTATAACTATTTTGTTCTTATATCCCTAGCAAATGTCACCATCTTCAGGCCTTCATCTTTCTTCATAATACTGCAAACAACTTTTGGCCTTCAGCTACAGGTTCAACTTGTGCCTTCAATGCAAGTTTTTATAGATTTAGACCCATCACACAAAGGGCAGACCTGTGGTGAGTGACCTGGTCCTAACAACTGCCTTTACCCATCCCTGTGCTCCTGTAGGAGACTTGCACAGACCATCTGCTTCCTTCTAGGTCTCTGTGGAAACTTCAATGATGTACAGGCAGATGATTTCAAAACCACCAGTGGTGTGATAGAGGGCACTTCAGCTGCCTTTGGCAATACTTGGAAAACTCGGGCTGATTGTCCTGATGCCAAAAATACCTTTGAGGACCCCTGTACTGTCAGCATACAAAATGGTAAGCTCAGCAACCTCTATTCTCCTTTAACATGCAAAGAAGGAATAAGCTGATCGACCACCAAGCATTTAGCTAAAATAACAGAACTACTCACACATGCACACAATTTTCCTCAGTTGACACTAGAAGTCTTCAATTAATAAATAATAACTAGCAGAATATTTTGTCTCTTCAGATATATTCCTTTGGTTCAAGACAGCAAGTTAACTTGCTTAAGGGGAACTGGAACCATACAGCATATTAGGGATTAATCTTTGGAGAGGACTCATTGTCACATATGAAGAAAAGCTGTGCCTAGCCCCTCTGAAGGTTGTGGCCCTTCCTCTCTTAGGCTAAGAACCACACTTCACTGAACCACAGTTCAGAGATTGAAAGCATTCAAGCTCCATTTCAGCCAAAAAATTATAATTCTTGAGTATTTACAGGCTACTCTTCTGTCTTCTGAGATGTACCAGCATAGTTTTAGTTTACAGTGTGAACCTTCCTTTAAAATTCAGCTAAGGGTATCTTTAGTTTATTCCATGACAATTATCACAAATTAGAGAACACTCAGTTTATGAAGAGTTCATATTTCTGTCTAGAAGTGAAAGACCGTGTGCCTCAGCAAATGCAGAGCTTAATTATGTTGTAACATTAAGCTTCTGCAATTTCCCTGGAGAAGGTATAGTTACATTAAGACAAAAATTTTGCAAATTAAATCCTTACCATGTTGTCAATTCACAGACCAGTATGCCCAGCACTGGTGTGGACTGCTCTCTGATACCACGGGACCTTTTGCTGAATGTCACTCAACAGTGAATCCAGAAGTTTACCAGAAGGTATTTGGCTCTAACTCTCTCCAATATGGGAGGAAACGACTCATTAACACCTGAGAGAATAACTTGCCATTTGTGAGGAGATGCACTCATGATGGCTCTTTACAAGTGAAGAGCTCGTTCTCATCTACACAATATGAAATTTGCTTCTCTGTGAAGCTATTTTTCTTTCCATTCCTTGGAGGATAAACTTACAAATGTACTCCTCCTGCACCTATTTTTAGGTGCAAACTTAAAGGCTAAGTTAGGGGTTTGGACTCCCTGTCAAAGGATACAACTTGTCCCTTCTGAGAGCTATAATGAAAGCTTTAGCCAGAATCTTAAACTGGCACTTTAATTCCTCTGAATTGCTTTGCATATATGCAAGGACAAAGCCAGCTGTGTGTGTTCACATCTTGTCTGATTCTCATTGCTGCAAAAAAAGCAGCAAGGAGAATTAGACAAGATGTGAACGAAAATGTTCTAGGAATTCAAGGTGCTGAAACCCTGTAACAGAGTCCATGGGTACTTTAGAAAACCTTCCTGTTATTTGAAATATGTAAGATGATGTTCAATAAACATCATCTGGAGTTAACAATATTGTATTATCCGTGCCCAGCATAGAAATGCATCGAATAACCTCTTGTATTCTTTGTTCCTCTACTGCAGAGAGTGAAGGCTCTTAAACGTAAGCTCCAAAAGCTGGGTGGCATCAAATAATGTCATTTATTCTAAATATATATGGCACAGTGGCAAAAACTTGAAGTTGGAAAACTGGAAAAAAAACCAAACCAAAAATAGTGAACCTCTAATTACTCTTTTACATAAATAATCTCTTTTGAAAGAGCTCAATGAAAATCAGGCATATATTTACTTATACATGTGAATTACACTCACTTTAATCTCTAATGAACATAACACTCTTTAAAAAACTGCAGACTGCCATAGCTTTGATGTGACATTTTAATGATCACATGTGATCTTCTGTTCCTAGACCTGTATGTTTGACACCTGTAACTGTGAGAAGAGTGAGGACTGCATGTGTGCTGCCCTTTCCAGCTATGTCAGAGCCTGTGCTGCTAAAGGAGTTCTTCTCACTGGATGGAGGAGCAAAGCCTGCAGTAAGTTCTGCATCCCTCTGCCTTTTGAAAATGCCCACCCAAACGCCCCCCACAGCAGCTCTCAGGGATTCCACAGTAAATTGTGTTAAACTGGGGTTTCACTGTAGCATTGCCTTTCAAGATGCTGAGGAGGAAAGGAATGCCATAAAAGACAAATAGGAAAAAATATTAAAGAGACACTTTGTTAGGTTACTTGCTGAGAACCATCAGAAAAAACCTGAAGAGCAACACCCTTGCAATAGGAATAAAATAAGTGGGATGTTTCTCAACTTACTTTGACAAAAAGTACATAAATAGCATAGAGGAAGAAACATACTGCCCTAATATAATTGAACTTCATTCTTTTTTTAACTTGGGCAAAACATTTGGCACATTTAGAAGGGAAAATTTTGCTCTAGTATTAAAAAAAATTACACTGCTGGGGATATCAGTAAAGCATGTGTACATACAACACCACGTTTATCGTATGTACTTTATCTCAAATACTATGACTATATTGATCCTTAAATGACCAACAAATGTTACTCACCTTCTTACTCTTAAGCAAAATACACCACCTTGTGTCCGAAGTCCTTGAAGTACACCTACAATGTCAATTCCTGCCAGCCCACCTGCCGCTCTCTGAGCGAGCCTGATGTCACCTGCAGCATCAAGTTTGTCCCAGTGGATGGCTGCACCTGCATAAATGGGACCTACATGGATGAGAGTGGCAAATGTGTGCCTGCTTCTAGCTGTCCTTGTTACTACAAAGGAATGCCTCTGTCTTCTGGAGAAGTTGTTCATGATAATGGTGTTGTCTGGTAAGAGACTTGAGAAAAAAAAATTTGGGTATAGGCAATCAAGAAACCATGTGACTGTTATGAAATCAAGTGAAATTAATTTCTAAACCTAAAAATTTCAATTAAAAAAAAAAATCACAGCTTCTTAAATTCTTAGGGCTGTTTGCATTGGGAATATTGTACATGAACAACTACAGGGATTCAATAAACAGTCCTATGGTGGGTCAGCCTTTGCTAACAGCCAAACTCCCATCCTGGGTCTTTCTCTCTGCCTTCTTTTGTTCCTTGCCCTCCACTCATACTTTTCTTGACTGTAAAAGGCTTCTTACATGGTGAAAAATGTCTAATAATTCTGTTACAGGTTATTCCCATTATGATGGGAATTGGATGTATTCGGAAGGACAGTTTTAAACCAGGCATATAGACAGAGAAAACATTTATTTATATAGAATTTACTTGTATTTTGTTCTACTCTAATATAGAATATTAATATTTTTGAAATGTGCTAACTATTTGATAAAGGACACAATTTATTTATCATACAGTAATTTTTCATTATTTCAAGTTCATTGGGAAATAGGCTGAAACTTAACAAGAACAAGTTAAAAATATATCAATTCCCTTGTTTTATAGCACTTGCACCTATGGAAAGCTGAGCTGCATTGGAGAGAAGCCCGAACCAGGTAACATATCACTTAGGATTTTCTTTGATTCTCCCTTTCCACCTTCACTCTTTTAATTTAATTCTCCTCTTGTCATAATGATGGAAACTGTACAAGTCTGAAATCAGATAAGAAAAATGAATTGAGGACTTCTGTAATGTAGAGGACATTCTCAAAATATAAAGAAACCTATCTTACCTTTCGGGTGTCTGAAACAACTTAGAACCCCCTGGGTTAGCCAGGGTAAAAGAATACTTGGTCACCTCACTCAATGTGAGGGGAAAATATTCACATTTAAATTAAAATGTAAAAGCAAAAACCCCCAAAGCAACCAATCAAAAAAAAAGTCCCAAATGTTATTTTGTTTTGTTCTGTTTTTCTGAAAGGAAGTGTTTCATGAAGCTAGCTAAAAATTAGTTTTGAGTTACTCCAAGCATAATCACAAAAACCAGGTGAATAAGAGATCAAAACAATATATTACTTTCTCTTTCTTGCTACGTGCATCATATTAAGGTATACGTAATTCACAAAAGAGTATTTCTATTTTTTCTTGGAAACACAAGGATATGAATGTACAGTTGGTCTTACATTTCTCATGGCTTTTCTCTCTTTCAGTCTGTGTGCCTCCCATGGTTTATGTTGACTGTGGCAATGTCACTGCAAACGTGGTAGGAGCAGGATGCCAGAAGAGTTGTCAGACTCTAGATATGGAATGTGTAAGTACAGACTCTTTACACCTAGCTGAGAGCATATTAATCAAGATCTTTTACAATTACCAGCTACAGCTGGACTCATCCAGCAGGGAAATGTTTCAAGACACGTTTTCTTTATGGTCCTTACAGTACAAAACTCACTGTGTCTCTGGCTGTGTATGTCCTCATGATCAAGTGCTGGATGGCAAAGGTGGCTGTATAGCTCCAGAAGACTGTCCATGTATTCACAATGGGAATTACTACAGTCCAGGAGAATCAATCAGAGTTGGCTGTAACAACTGGTAAGAGCATATGGAAAAATAATGTTTTGGAAATAAAAAATAGAACAGCTTAAGCTCTAAGCAAATAACATAATTTCACTCTAACAGTATCAAGTTTTCTAGGAAGGAAACCTGCATAAAACAATTCACTTAGTACCTAAAAAGCAAGCTCCATCTATTTTTCTCAATGGCACAGCCCAGAAATTTCAAGTGGTCAGAAAAACACCATGGTTTTGGTGTCATATTCATTTAAGTCTTTTTTTTTTTTTTTTTCTTCCAAGGAAATCCTTCCATCTCAATATATCCAACAGGATATGGAAATGTGAAAAAGTTGGTGTTTTCTAATGCAGATGATTCATTACATTAAGTAACAATCTTTGGATAAATTCCAGTAGTTCTTGAGCTATGCTGCATTTTTGAGAATAAGCAAACCTTATTTTTTCATTAGAATCTTAATACATTTTAAAATACAGAAATGTACCTATATTTATCTTGTGTGTTTGTCTAGTTTTTACATTTGGAGTGCTCTTTGTCTTGTGTAGCACATGTAGAAACAGAAAATGGCAATGCTCTGAGGAACCCTGCCTGGAAACATGTTCTGTTTATGGAGATGGGCATTATAACACCTTTGATGGCAAACGCTTTGATTTTGAAGGAGACTGTGAATATGTTCTGGTCCAGGTAACAGAGTCCTGCCTAGAATTTTGCTCTAAGCACCTTGCATTTTACTAATGAATATGTAACATAATTAACAGTGAATATCACTCTCCTGTTTCAGAACTACTGTGGTCAACAGGCTATGAATCAGGGAACCTTCAGAGTCATCACTGAGAACATTCCATGTGGCACTACAGGAACTACCTGCTCTAAGTCTATTAAAGTTTTCCTGGGAGTAAGTTTTTCTTTCTTTTTTAAGTTGTGCCAGAAGGATGGAATAAGCTGTCCCAGACAGACTGCACAGGAGAAGTGGCCTCCAAAATAATGAAAATGTCACTGGACTTTTTTTCTCTCTACTCTAGAAAGCAAAGAAGGGAAATCTACAGAGAAATTTCTTAACGTGAGGTTGTTGAATAGGATCCTTTTGATGATAATATTATTTTAAGACATTACTGTCAATATATAAAACTACAAAATAGGCAACTTTTTAAACTGGCCTCCAACTTTTTCTTCTCCTGTCTTAGAACTATGAGCTGGTACTCAATGATGGACACTCTGATGTCATCCAGAGGACACCTGGAGGAAAAATGCCATTCCAAATCCGTTCCATGGGCATCTACCTGGTGGTTGATACTACTGTTGGTCTGATACTCATGTGGGACAAGAAAACCAGTATATTCATCAAACTTAGTCCCAGCTTTCAGGTATACTTTAAAAGTGGAAACATGAATAAAATTAATTCTGTAATATATTCATATTATCCCTCAAAGAAAGAGGGTGAAAATTTAGGCTGTAAACCAGAAGACTGTAACCAAAAGAGCAACAATCACATATTTTTATCGTTACTGTGTTGACTTAAATTGTGTGTTAATACTATGTATTATCCTTAAATTACACTTTTCAGCAATGGCATAGCAGCAACTTTATCAGTAGCTTTCTTCATGAAAAACCTTCACTGAAGAGATGTATTTAGGATCAGCTAAAGCTAAATAGCTTAGTACTTCAGAACAAAACCCATCGTCTACTCCTTCTTCCTAACAAGTTAAAGACATCTTAGCGAAAAGCATTTTATGAAAATGTCCAATGCTGTTACTAAATAGGCATTAATAACCTTAAATGAGATGGTTACATAAGAGTCATGCTGAGGTCTGTTACTCACTAAGAAATTGTGCCTTATTGATCCTTGTCATTTTGCTTGTTTATCCTGATGCAGGGCCATGTCTGTGGACTTTGTGGCAACTATGATGGCAATGGAAATAATGACTTCACTACTCGCAGTCAGTCTGTGGTAGGAAGTGTGCTGGAGTTTGCCAATAGCTGGAAAGTATCTTCCAGCTGCCCAAATGCCAATCGTACGCTGGACCCATGCACTGCAAACCCATACAGGAAAGCCTGGGCACAGAAGCAATGCAGCATCATTACCAGTGAAGTGTTTGCAAAGTGTCACTCACAGGTATGACAAAAAATTCAGTCTTAAATTCTGGACAAAAGGATTACATCCATTTGTATATGGAATAGATTTTAAAATACTCTAAAATACATTTTTGTCATGCTTGTCAAAGTGAAGCTAGACCAAGTTTCTGCATAGAGAGACTGCATAGAAATATTTTCACTTTCATTTTCTCAGCTTTTGTCTTGAGCAAGTACACTAAAGAAATTGATTGGGCTGGTTGGTTGGTTTTTAATAGAAGGAATAACAATAGATAAATCTCAAGATATGCTTATTTTCTCATGACATCATTTTATACTAATATAAATATCAGCCACCTGATATGTATAACTCTGTGCTAGCTTATAGTAATTACCAGTATTTTGCAACTGTCTTCAACATCAAACAGTTCTTAATATTACAGCTTACTAGCAATAGCTTTATTCTACATTTTCCTCTTGATTTTTCAAAGCGTTCTCTTGATTTTTTTTTTTATTTTTTTTTTTTCCTTTCTTAGCTTTCTCACATACGGACCTGTGAGTTTCAGTTCTCTTATTCAGTTATTTTAGGACAGTGCAAAGAGGGTAAAGGCATGAAAACTTGCATGTTTTCTCCATCAGGTTGAACCAAACGAATATTACCAAGCATGTGTGGATGATGCTTGTGCCTGTGACACTGGAGGAGACTGTGAATGTTTCTGCACAGCAGTAGCTGCCTATGCTCAAGCATGTAATGAGCTGGACATCTGTGTATCATGGAGAACCCCATCCATTTGTCGTGAGTTTCAACCCACTACTTTTTTTAAGGGGTTCAGAGGGAAAGGAAACAGGAGGGAAAAAATAGGAAACAAAGTAGAACAAGAAAGGAAGGATAAAACTGTATTTCTAAGAGGCACAGTGGTATGCTTAAGAAACAAACAGACAAAATCCAAAAAACACCTAAAAAACCCCAACAAAGCAGTTGGGTAAGTCACTAGAAAACAATCTATCTTAATAAAATGAAACCACAGGTAATAATTCTACAAGCGGTGTGATTAGTGTCTAATTAACTTGACAATCATGATACGCTACTGGTGAAATATGATATTTTATTATACTGCCACCTGCCTACATCAGGTTCCATGTAAACAAAACATTAGTGCATGCTAAGATCGGTGACTCAATCAACTGATTTTTCATGTTTAATGTGTAACTCTGTTCTATGATGTGTATATTTATTGATGTCAAAAGGTTTTAGAAATGTAACAATTGTATTACCTTAGCAATAAGACAATATAGTATTCACCACCTATGTGATTATGCTGATCCCATTGGAATTTTACATAGAAAAACTGAAACAGTACAAAGCTAAAACATCAAAGAGATTTTTCTGACATTTCTTCTTCTAGCTCTGTTCTGTGATTACTATAATCCACAAGGGGAATGTGAGTGGCACTACAAGCCATGTGGAGCGCCTTGTATGAAGACCTGCAATAATCCAAGTGGGAAATGCCTTCATGAAATGAGGGGTTTGGAAGGTAAACATAATTATGCATATCTCTTTCTGCTTGAAAGGTTAAAATGCAGTATGGTGAACAAAATTTGTATTACTCAGCATATGACACGTTTGCACTAGAAAATGTAAGATGATATTTTCTAATTAGTATTGTATGCCCTAATGGATTATGTAGTTGTTTGGAAAGAAGATGAGGATGATATACTCCAAAGCATATTGTGCAATCAAAGGAATAGCAGTAAGGGGATCTAAAATTCCACTTACCTTGTGGGACATTTTGGGAAAAGCAGATATGAGTGTAGAGTTACTTATGAAAGGCTTAGTGTCAACTTGACTCTCTTTTTATTGCAGGCTGCTATCCACAATGCCCAAAGAATAAGCCCTATTTTGATGAGGAAACCATGACTTGTGTTTCTAATTGTGGTTGCTTTGAAGATGGAAAAAATTACAAACCAGGAATGGAGATGCCTTCAAAGCAGAACTGTGAATCATGGTAGGATTAGAAAATAATTTTAAAAGTAGAGTTTAAAATTGTGGAACATAATTCATCACAGATTAAATTTGTTATTTACCCACAGGAACTAGGCCAGTCAGAGGCTGATGAACAATGTCTGTTTTTTCTTCCCTTCCCAGGAAATTAAATGACAACATAGTGAAACATTTTATAATTGAGAGATTAATTTACTACTTATTTTGTGTATTTATTAAAGTCCTTTTAATTTATTATCATTATTAAATTAAGTGAAAACAAGTTGCATTTACTGTGCTTTTCCCTTCCAAAAAATAAGTAGACCTATTTGGGAGATAAGGATATTTCAAATCATCCATCTCACATCTTTTGTCCTGTTCCTTTTGGGACTGGTAGGGATGCTGCATATTTTCTATGCTGGCTCAAAAGCTACCTTTCTTGCCAGGGAACTGTGTGAAGATAGCTAGCCTGAATTTGTACAGCAGAACTGACTGCCTAACTCAGAGAAGATAGGGTCACTTTACATTTAAACACACAATGGATAGCAAAGGATTGATAGAAGAAAAATTTATACAAAAATTGATGTAATGAACCAGTATGCCCATATTCATAGGCTGTTTTTCTCTTTTTCAGTGAATGCACACTTCATGGCAAAAAATGCAGATATGATGAACATGGTATGTTGATGAAGTCGTTTCTATATGAATAACACTTATGGTGTTGTGTTTCAGATAGCAAGGAATAATATCCTGTTTTAATCCACAGAATGTGTCTGCATTTATGAGGGACAGAAATACAACTACCAAGATGTGATCTACAACACCACAGATGGCACAGGATGGTGTATTGTTGCAACCTGTGGTCCCAATGGAACGCTTCAAAGATTTATCCATGGATGTCTGCCCTCAACATCACCTACAACAGCAACGACACCACCTACCTCTACTTCCACAGGTATGTATGTCCTTTGTAACCCACAAGAGTGTGTTCTCTTGTTTAGTGTGATTTACAGTATTAAGTGGATTGCTCAAATATTGGCATTGAGATAAGGAAATTTTGAGTTTTAGAATTCCTGTACAACAGTCTTGAGGTTGGAAATCCCTAGTTACTCTGGGCATATGTTGTTTTACGAAATCAGTATTCGGTATAAAATAGATAGGTTTGGAAATTACAGAAAATATCAACATTGCTGGAGTTCAGTAGCTATTTTCTGCCTATTTCATAATGAAAATTCATCTGCAAGAGCTCTCCTACCAATAAATGGTTTATTAAGATCTGAGCAAAAATACAAAGTGTAGAGATGCTTGAAATGGAGGAGCAAAGACAATGCAATGAGGAGTCAACTGATTTGAAAGAAAAAAGTAGCTATGGATCTTGATGCATACACTAAACACTACTCTTTGCACTGATTTCAATACATTCCAGAGAGACTAGTATATAATGGAGCAAGATGCAACCAAAACAAATACACTGAACTAAGTGCAAAACAAGTGAGACTTGTTTTTTTCCAGGGTGTATAAATTAGACCTACACCTTGTAACACATAATTAGTTTTCTCTTGTGAAATGACTGTTCCAAGCATGTCACTACATTAAATTGCTGGGTGAAGGATTTTCTGTTCTACAACATATTAAAATATATGTATAATAAACTGATGCACAACAGGAGCATAATAGAAGAAAAATGACATTAGGAAACTAGTCAGCCCATGTAAAATAACAAAAAAATAACATCTACAAGAACTCATTCTCAATTTCATGGTCTCTTTTTTTTTTTTTTTTTTCTGTCTCCTTCGCCAGTGTCACCAACTACATCAGTATGTGTTCATGAAGTGTGTCAGTGGTCAGAATGGTATGATGGGAGTCTACAAACCCCTGGCTACGATGGGGGAGATTTTGAAACTTTTGATGATTTACGAGCAAAAGGGTATGAAGTCTGTAAAGCTCCAAAGGCTGTTGAATGCAGAGCAGAAAAGTTCCCTGATATACCACTGAAAGACCTTGGCCAAAAAGTAGAATGCAGTACAACACAAGGGCTTATATGTTACAACAAGGATCAAATTTCAACAATGTGCAACAACTATGAAATCAGAATCCTCTGCTGTGTTTTTGTACCATGCTCTTCCACACCGCCTTTCAGCACTTCAACCCCGGTCACACCTCCAACTGTGACAGAAACATCTACTGAAACAAGGTATACATTTAGTACAACTTCTGAAAGTACATGGTCCACAACATCAACTACAGAAGGAACAACACCGGTCACCATATCAACTTTTACAACTCCTCTTTGTTTCAAAGAAAAATGTTATTGGACAAGATGGTATGATGTCAGTTATCCAGGATCCGGTTACAATGATGGAGATTTTGATACTGTTCAGAACATTAAAAATCAGGGATACAAACTATGCGAGAACAGAAAGGATGTGGAATGTAGAGCAGTCAGGTTTCCTAATACACCATATCCTCTACTAGAGCAACACATAACGTGTAACACAGAAGAAGGGTTAAAATGCTATAATAAAGACCAGTTGCCACCCATCTGCTATAATTATGAACTAAGATTTAAATGCTGCATAAATATACCAGTACCATGTGAAACAACCACAGAAATGGTTACTACAACAATAAAACCAACTGGATTTTCATCAATGACGACATCAAAAACGGTACCAACAACTCTAAGTTTACAAACAAAACACAAGACAACGACAAAACATACAGTCCAACCAAAAACAGATTTCATACATACCAGAATAACATCTACCACATCCACCACCACCACCAGCTGTGAACCCGAAGTGTGCACCTGGAGCGAGTGGTTTGACGTAGACTTTCCCTCCTCGGGGCCCAACCAG